AAAAGTTTCACAAATTTACAAGCAATATAAAGTCTTCTCTCTAGTATGGAACTTCTTCGATATCAAGGGTTTACGATGAGCTAGTTAATTACGAGTTGACGTAGGTATAATTCACTTAACAGGGAGCTAGCTAAATTTGTCCTTAGTTATTTACCAGCCACACACACCAAGTTTTCCACCGTAACATTATGTAATGTTTTTGTAAAAATACTAGTGTCCGATGAGAATCCACTGAAGTTAAATGATTGTAATGTTTGAAATTTATAAATGCTCCTGGTCAAATATCTGAAGTTTCCCAATTGATAAGCGTTATAACAATCACAGTTATAGCTTCCAAAGTTTGTAGCACACTGACTATAGCAAGCTAATAGTAGATACTCTTTTTAGTATCAATAGAGCCTTAGTAGTATCTATCAATAGAGCCTTATTCAGATGTTGCTCAGTCTTCCTGTTGTCATGGAGATTTAAACATATAAAATTAAACTTTATAATCAATTATTAAAAAAATTAAATTCTAAGGCAAAAGGAATTATTATTTTTTAATTATGTTTTTAAAAGCTTCTCACAACAAAAGTTTTGGAATTTCACAACTTAAAAAATGTCAGATATACTAAACCAATTTACAATAAATTTTATGCAATTTAGTTTCACAGTGAGAAGAAATGAAATCAGCGAGTATCAATAACTTTTCTCTGGTCCATAAATATGTAGTCAGTTTTAACTTAATGGAAATAGTTTATAACCCTCTATATTCTATTGTATCTAAATGTTGCCTGTACATGTTTTCATTGTGCTTCGTTAATAATTGTTCAGACTAACATGCTTTAACATAATAAAAAGGGGAACAAAAACCATTAACAGAAAAGAAAATCGTGTGAGAAATAAAATACAAGTAACTATATGTTGATTTACTCTCTTGATATTTTCTTTTGAGTTCTGATATTCTATACAACTCTTAGGCCTGGCTCATACTCTGACAATATCTGGCCCCCATTGATGATCTCTGATCCTATATTGAGAGGTTGAAATTACATCATCTACACTCTTGCACTGTTTGCCTTTTTTGGAAAGCTGTACAGCATTTTCCTATGTGCCTGTTATCTCAAAACATACAAGGTCAGACCATATTGAAAAACGTTCAGTTTTCGACCACTTTGCTCAATCAAAGCGGCTGCAATCAAGATGCACAGTTATTGTGTTTTGCGGCCAAAACAACCTGCAGAACAAATGTATGTTATTAACAGGAGTGATAGTTTAGAAATTTTCCACTTTCTATAGCTCAGACTGTAGTAATCCAAACTATCGTATATTTTCATTGAATGTGCTCTACTGGACTCTTACTTCACATATCAAATTTCAAAGAAAACCGTTAAATAATACATGAGATATAAAATCTCCAATTTTGATTGATTTTATTCCTTTTTTTTTTCTTAGCACTAAAAGTATGGAAAATTTATTTGATAGAAAAATATACTTAACTTTCTTGGATTTTTATCAAATTTAGTACATTGATAGATTTTTACAACCTACAATTAGGTGTCAAATTTTGGTCTAAATATAAGTCACATGTGCAAAGTTATTTAACACAAACTGCTCAATTTTGACCAAACTTTTTGAGCATGCTCACGTAAATAGTCATGTGAACTATTGGTCTGACATTTTTACTACAGCTTCATCTAAGAGTAAGGTAGACTGATTTTAGTTTTTTGTCATTGGACTAAAGATGGCTGACTTAGAGCAGCAAAACTATAGAGTGAAAGCACATGTAGATACATAAGTATTGGTTAGGCTAGGCAAACTAGATTAGCAGTTTCCAGCTCAAGTTTTCAAATGAATCATATGGGTGGACAGTTATTATTCATTATTCATTGTCAACTTTAAAGCACAGATTTGCTAAATTTCATCAAATTCTCGTAATTAAATAGCATTTTGTGTCATGTAATATTAGCTTAAGCAATTAATGTAAATTATGATGCTTGATAGGGCTGTACTGAGTGTTTGCGAGTGACGACAAGAAACTGTTAATCTAGTTTCCATGGTGTTATTGTAAAGTGAGTTATTAACACTGTTTTAGAGAAGACAAACTATCAATATATATATTTTAAAGAATCTGATTGGTTTTGTAAAGTATGGGTCTCTCACAAACAATAGGGATACAATCCTAAAGCTAATGTTGGTTACCATCGAGTATCACTTTCTTGCTTGCTGTGGTTTGTCAGTGTGTATTGACAGAAAAGTCATGATACCTAATCAAAAATTCCTTAGGTGTTGGAAAAAGGTGCAGCCAAAAAAGAATTGAATGTGCGACTTAAAGGAATGAAATAAAAATTGGTGGCCAAACTGATAGCTACACTTATGCCATTAGTTAGTTAGGCAGCATCTTTTGTTTAGCCACCATCATGCCCCAAGTTGAACAAAAAACATGGCATGGCTAACTAATGAATGAATATTTGCTGTAAAATTTTTTCAATGCTATAAGGTTAGCTACCAGTTTGGCTGCCAATATTGATCTCAGTCCTTTAATTTGCATGCTCAATCCTTTTTTGGATGCACCTTTTTTTCACACCTAAGGTGTTTATGATTAGATTATACTTCACTGCATCTGAGATATAGCTACAGAAGTATGAAACAAGCCAGAAAAGCTGCTATTTCTGGGAGAATCTAGTTACTCCCCCATTTTTCTATTCTGTGTGAAATAGTCATGTCTAAAGTTAAGGAAAGTTTCTTTGTTGCTTGACTGTCTCATGATTGAAGC